AAATAAAATTTGAGTTTCTTTATTTTATTCACCTATAAATGTTCCCTCACATATATAAGGTTTCATTTTAAGTCAAATGTCTAAAGTGAACAAAAGAGGTAAATGTTAGTACATTTTAGTTTCTACCTCTGCCACTTCAAGTGAGCAATTTCCATTTTACTCTCTCCCCCACAAGTATACATGCATTCTCTACATACCCTTTTCCCCCAGCACTCCACCACTTCTCCATTCCATCCATACCATAACAGCTCTTTGAACAGCCCTAAAGAATTACCATTACTTTCTTAAGCAGAAGATGTTAACATATGCTGGGAATATGCCTGAGGCTTAGGTTATTACTCTTCACAATTTAGAGTATAGTTGATCAGTCTAAGTTAATAGAAGTCTCTCAGCTAGTTAGATATAAGATAAGTATGGTAAACTATAACAGGAGATAAAATATTCCAAATTCTGGAAAGAAGTAAGAGAATCTACAGCAAGATGTGACAATCTAAAATGAAAAAATCAAAATTATCAAAATTTATGAACATAAGTCTGATATAAACATAATTAGGTCACAAGTGAATTGTCAAGTCAACCAAATAAAGTTTGAAAAATTCAAAATTGATTATTTTACCTTATAATTTAGCTTTGCTTCATCATAGAAATCAGCAGAATGTGAAAATTGTTTGCCTATGGTAACATTTGCATAGCTAAGGAAGAAAAAGTAATGGTGAGTTCAGGGTTCAGAAATTTAAATTTTATTTTATTGTTTTAAATTCAAAACAGATGACACAAAGATATTGAAAATATCTTACCCGTATCCTGTTCCTTTCTTTCCTGGGTTTGTGTATAAATTCTTTCCAGGTGCCTCATACTTGTCCCTGTGTTTTAACTCTGCACTGAAGAATGGTACTGGACCACCTATTGTTCCATAGTAGCTTCCTAATCCACATCTTAAATACAGTTATTTTTTTTTAAGTAAGAAGTTAAAATATCAAATTTCATGTAATATATTTCAATAAAATTTTTAAAGATTGAAAAAGGAGAAAAAAATATATAGTGGAATTGTCTTACTTGACTCTAATAAGAAAAAACATCCATTTTTGTTAGTTTTTATCTAATTTTACTTTCCTTTTCAAAGCCACAAATTTTGAGATGTTTAATTTTTTATGTTTACATAAAATATTCTACATAAATGAAACTTCATGATATTTAGAAAGTTAGAATAGTTATCATTGATTCTGTTAACTGTAATGAAGAGAATTTTTGTGTCTTTAAATGAATTTCTATGCACTTTAAGGCAAATTAGCTAATAAATGACTAATTTCTTTTTACTACCCAATCATTAAAAATTATATTTGCAAAACATATATTTAAAATCATCATTTCTACTGCTGATGGCAAAATAAATCTCATGGAATTTAGGGGCTACTTTCTTCATTTTGGTTTACATTTATTATTTTAGTACAAAAAATATTAATCAAATATTTTATTCATTTTTAATATAAGTTTTTCTGGGCACAGTATCTATGCAATCAAACTATTTTGTTACCCAGTACTGCATTATAACTGCTTTATTTTCACAATAAAAAAGATAAGTAATGTTAATAACAATCATAGTCTAATTCCCAAGTTATCACTGCAATAACTTTTTATAAGAAAATGCCCTTGAGAAAATGAAACATTATTATAAAAGATGACACCACACATTTAAGTTAGAATTTTCAAAACCTAGAAAGATACCAACACTGACTACTTATTACTTCTAGCCTACAAGTAAAAGTTCCATCAGGAGAGGCTACTTATTTTCATTAATCTTTATGTATGAACATGTGTCATACAATTCTAAAATACAGAAAGAAAAAGCAATGATATTACAGAGAAAACAATTATGCACAAGCATAATTTAACTACAATGTGATTTAATGCAAATATTAAAGTCATTACATTTAGAATCCATTAAATGCCTATGGTTGGGGGGTAGATAAAGGGAGACTAGATTTTATCAGTGCACACCATACACATGTGTTAAAATATCACACTACATCCAATAAAGATATAAAATTAATACATGCTAATAAAAATAAACAAACATTTTAAAAATAAAGTTTAGTAAGGAGAGATACTAATAAAATAATAATGAAGAGAAAAATGCCTATAGTTCTATGATTTCATGTTGAGTAATTCCCTAAATGAAAGTTTCTTATTTATACTACCAGTCTGTCTTTTTGAAAACACCTTTTGTATGCTACTAAATTACAGATATTTTTCACATATCTATGAGCTTTTAAAAGAAAGGAAAACCAGTGTAATTATACAACTGTTATTTCTTAGCTGGAAATACAAACATAAATTAATATATGAGGTAGAAATTCCCAATTATTACCATGTGAGTCAAAATTAATAACAGGTAGGAGAAAGACTGAAAAGCAGAAAAAAAGTTATATAAAGGACAAAATACATATACTATATGAAAAATAAAGTAGTAACAAAAAGAAAAAAAATTCCTAAATTATATCTAAGGAGAAAATGAAGAAGGCCAACAGTAATAAGATTAAAAGTAAATGATTCCAATCTATCCAAACTGTAAAAGTTAGAAAAAATGAAACCCTAATAACACAAAAGAAGAAATTCTTTACTCTGAATAAAGAAATTATGTTTTATTAGAAGACAAAATTTCCTGTTAGAAGGACATCTGAGTTACAGAAATGTAGTTTGATAGTTTCACTAATCTCAAGAAGACATAGAAAATAATCACAAAATTAGACTTTAATCAATTCTCATCTATCATAAATTCTACACTGAGAGAGTCAAAGTTCTGGACTATGACTGAAAATCATCCTTTAAATCTTAGCTACATAGCCTGGGATTTAGCTCAGTGGTACCGCCGCCTGCCTCAAAAGTGCAAGGACCCGAGTTCCATCCCAGGTACCAAAAAAGAAAAAAAAAAATCTTAGCTATATAGCATAATATAACATAGACTACATGGTCTTAATAAACTAATGATTTAATAGTATGAAAAAGATAAACCTTTATATTGACAATGGTCACAATTAAAACATTGTTAAACCCTCTGACTGTATCTTCACAGTGATTTATAAGTAATGTATCTCTGACAAATTCTTTATCCAAGAAGCATTTTTCCTAATTTCATATTCTATTTATAATTTTAATTATTAGAAACTAATATAGAACAATGACATTGATAATAAAAATTAGCTGTCAATCTAAATCATCTAATATAATTATCTCCAAGACAAATTACACTAAGAATCATACTTAAAAAATTAATCTTATATAAGTAATTTCTACAGAAAACAAACATTTACTTTAAGCTAGATAGACAAAGATGCAACAGATCTATTTAAGACATTTTCCCAAACACTTACAGCTTTTTCTCTCCGCTACTAGGAAGGAAGGCTTTGCTTAGATTTTTTTTGGCTTCTTCCATCATATATCGTCTCCTCACTTGATTCATATTTACATAGCCTTCACCTTCAAAAATCCTTGCAAACTGGGAATCAAAATAACCTGCCTGGAGATGTGACATTGCTTTGGATCCCCCAGGTAGCATCTGTCTATTTTTGCTTGCAGCTTCATTAAAGGGTCCTTAAAAATAAATTATGAATATTACAATTTTGAGCTCACTAGTAATTAATGGATATTAAAAATAACAGAAAAGTTTCCAAATGTGTTTTGAGCCAGTTATGAATTTGAGCTCCAAAACAGATTTAAAATGTTCACTGAAAGTTCTGTATTAAAGACTATTCTGACAAAAAGAGACTTTCATGAAATTATCTGAGTATATATATTAGGATCCTTGTTATACATTCTGAGTTTTAGAGATAGAAGAGAACTTAAGAGGTTATCTAACCCAACATTTTTCCATTTACTCACAGGAAACACTGTGCAATGTCAGTAAAAGTGTGTATACATTGGAGAAAAGGGTGCTGCATACACAAATTGAAGCAATTCTCCACTCAAGATACATGAGTGCCTGTTATCCACTAAAAGACATGAACGAGAATGTTCATAGCACTTTCATTCTTAACCAAAAATAACAACCCAAACATTTGTCAACAGAATAGATTGTAAAATTCTGGTACGTATTCAATGAAATACTAATATTTAGATAAATTATTAAATATTGCTATTATAAATATTTAGAACTTTTATAATTTGGATTAAGGAGGGCTTCATTTAGGAAGCCCTTCTAAAATGTAAATAATTTTTGAAGTGTATAAAACCCTTAATTCAAGTGGATTCTGAAATGTGAATCTATATCAGATTTTTAACTTAAATTTTAGAAAGGTATCACAGTCAAATAGTTTCAAATTCAATAGTATAAACAATCTTCACAATAAGTTTTCTTCCATCGCATGGCCACCAAGTTCTTCTTCCACAATCAATGATGTTAATTTTATCTGACAGAATTTCTAGCTATGTTCATGTAAATATTATATATCCTTTTTCATTTTTAATGCTTAATATAACATACACACTATTCCATATCTTGCTTTTTTATTTAACAATTTATCTTGGAGACATTTCCATATTAGTATTCTTAATGGAGACATTTTAAAGACCACATTTTACTTTTGATCTTTTCATTATAACTTTTCTAAAAACTCTTTGGCATTCCATTACCAGGAAAGCAATAATGGTGAGCCTTCTTGGATGCAAATGCAAATGCCATTTTTAGAGTGAAGTGTCCTACCTTAAAAAGAAAAAAAAAAGCTAAAAGCAAAATATTTCAGAAGAAATTTGTCATGCACCTTTAGAAAGAAGTAAAATTATCTACAAGGACACTTTGTAAGGGTAGATGAGCCAATAAAATGAGCTTTCTACTCATAAAATTAGGTTCTCCCTTAATTCTATTGCAATGTCATAAATTAATCAACTTTAGAACTCAATGCTTTAAAATGTAGAACTATGTAATATATTTTGCCTTAAAATGAAATTTCATTAAAAAAATTTCCACTATGAAAATACTAGATATACTTACGATTAAATGGTGATACATATTTATCACCAATAGTAGTATATCCCATCTCACTGAAGAGGCCAATCCTTTCCATGTCTGTCTTCCCTACTCCAGCAGGCATGATTGCTTCTTGTGGTGGTAACTTCAAAAGGTTCCTTAGGGCTTTTTTCTTATATCAAAATCCTACTTTGCTTTGAAAAATACAGGGAAAAAATTTACCAAAACGTGCTTATTAAATTTCAACCCAATTTTCACTTTACAAGTTTTAATATTCTCTATAAAACAACAGCTCCTAAACTATATAATGAAAGAATCCACTCTGTGGGGTGGCAGGAGACCACTAGGATTCAAAATTAGCATCATGAAGTCTCCCTTTGACTCTGTGTGAATGAAGGGCCCACAAGTTACAAGGGAATGTGTATCATCTGCCATATCTGATGGAAATGATAAAATTACTACCATATAAATATTGTGCAAATGATATCCTTCTTTGGAGGAATTTAAGGTAGATTTTAAAATCATAATTATATATGATAGACATTTTTTACTTTAAATAAAATGTTTTCAGCATACTGCATTGTCCCTCATACTGAAAACTGTAACTTAGCTTTTCAGAACATGTAACACATAGATAATGCCCTGCAGTAGCTGAGGTTTTTCAAGTTTAAATATAAAAAAATGTATCACTGACAAAATTAGCTCATAAAATAAATGGGGAGAGAGATCAATTATACAGGTAAGATGAAAATATCAACAAAACAAAAAATCCGCAATGACTTCTGAGGATTTGTTAAAGGAAAGATTGCAACTGCAAGGGTTTTTTCAAACACAGGAGAAACATCACATTAAACATGCTAAGTATAAACCTAGAGATTAATTTTTTAATTAAACATGATCTCAAAAGGAGGACCAAAGAGCTAAAAATATTTGCTCCCATCTCATCCTCATGTTTTTAAACACCAACTATGAGGCACGCACTGGGCATACACTTGTGAACAAAACAAACATTGGTTTATGCTTCCCAGTTTATAATCCAAGGTAAGAATCTTTTACCTTGAATTAAGACCAAGTTGACTCAAGGACTCTCAGCATGCTTACCTGTTTGGACTGTGGCTCATCTGTGCTAATCGTTGCCAATGTGCAACATCAAAAAGGTAAATAAAGATTCAGTTTAAACTAAAGCATAAGAAAACACAATACCCTTTTCTGTCTCCTCTTTCTTCTGATCAGGTACACTTGGATACTAAACAGCATTCACTAGAAGAGTACTACTTAGTTTAGTTTATTTCAAAGCTCCATCCCACTGCCCAACTATAAAGGTTTCCTGGGCTGCTACAATGGACTCAAGTCCTTTAAGGGACCCAAAAGGTCCACATCAGCCAGCCTCTACATCAACACGGGAAGCTCTTTCCTGGACCCTGGGCTGCATCTGTCTTCTTCCTCGTGGCAGGTCGGGGCTCTTTCACTCACAGTACCACTATACCACTTTACGAAAGTAATGCAGGGTGCCTACCCCTTCCTCACCCCGATTAACACTGATCTTTCGCATTACTCAGCTAGTTCATCGTTTCTTTAATCCCAGCATAGCAGTAAGTACATCTCCTTCTAGGACTTCATCATGATTATCTAACAGGTCATTATTTTACATTCGTGGTGTAGAAATCCGTGTATTGTGTTCTCCACTAAAGGGTTGGCTCCACAAACGCAGGAAACGTGGTTAGAGTTGTTTTTCATCACTTTTTTGAAATGGGGGTCCTCACTATGTTGCTCAGGCTGAGCTCGAACTCCTTGGCTCAAGTGACGTCCCTGCCTCAGTTTCCCAACTAATAAGGATTACAGGAACGTGTCGCCACGCCCAGCTAGTTTGATTCTTCTTTACCACAGTATTCCCAGTTTCTACACAGCATCTGTCTAGAAACTAAACAAGCCAGGGAGAAAAGGAAGAAAGGTCTTGCCTTGACCTTCTCAGGACTTACCTCTTCTTGAGCAACATTTACAAAATCATTCACTCACTTAATTTGCACATCTCTTGTCCAGAAAATGCTCGCTGGTAAAAGTAGGAAAACTGGCATAGAAACTGCCCCTGGTAGTTTGCAATATAGACAAGAAAATAAGTATAATACAAGTAGAATATGGCATGTTCCCTTCAAAGGTTATGAGTAAAATTGGTGAGGGGTGAAGAAGGGGTAGAAAATTCTGGTTGAGGCGATGTGTAAATTATTTCCCACTAGGAAAAGACAGACTCGAAGTAGGCAGGTATCTAAAAAGTTAACATCTGGTGTCGGTGAGGACCAAGTAATCTTTCCGCAGGATACCTGATCCGACAACCGAGATAAGATCGCCCCGTAAGTTATCTCCGAGGTAGCAGCAACCTCAGCTCGGAGTTGTCTCAAAGCGCGAGCCCTCACCTCCAGGGGACCAGGCTGCGAACTGCAGTAGTGAGTTCTGTGCACAGCTGGATTTATTGTGGTGCGCCGCCCAGGCTACGGGAGAATCCATTCCAAGTACGCTACAGGGGGGACACGAGGAGAGTTCGAATCCATATAGAAGATCACACAGGATTTGTGAGTGAGATACAAAAGACTCAGCCAACAAAATTCATTGAAAATAAGTCTTGTTTCCAGCCTTTGTAGGCGCCGACGAGATTTAGTGTGGTACGTTCCTGATGGAATGTTGCCAGGCATGCTGGGAGTTGTAGTAGCGATGACGCCACTTCCGGGCCCGCCCCCGAGGTGGACCTAGGCCTCCCAGTCATTGCCACGTCGAGAACCGGGTGAGTCCTTCTTCTCGTAGCCTTTCTCCGCGTTTACCCCTGGACCTTGCAGCCTCCCCGAATACGGCTCCAAGCCACTGAAAGGAGCTGGTCCTATTGGCGCCCACGACGGCAGGTGCGAACCTGGTGGTCCGGGCAGTCCTCTCCTCGCCCTCCCCACAAGCGTGCACCCCTCCTCTGCGGCGTTGCATCCCGCTCTCCCTGCCCTTCCTCCTTGTGAATGTCCTTTAGCGTCCGTGACGTGATGTCTCACTCTTCTGGTTTCCCTCCTTTCATAGCCAGGTTCTCAGATCCTTATCCTACATGTTGATGCTTTTCAAGGATACTTTGCATCCTGTGCTTTCTCCTGGCTTCGTATCTACCGTTTAGACCTTTCTTCAGAGCTCCAGATTAGCAAATACCTCATATGTATTTCAAACTCAGCAAGTTTAAATCTGAGTCGTTTCCCGCTCTCTTCACCGAACATCTCTCTCTCCAGTAATCCCAGTGCAGATGGCACCACTGTCTACACCACCTTAGCTGTGCCTGCCAGACACCCGGAAATCACCCTTGAAACCTCCCTCTTTTCAACTTCTACTTCTTTAGTTTATTTTATTTTATTTTGGTACCGGGGATTGAACTCGGGTATTTGCGCTTGCACAGCAGGCGACGAAACCACTAAGCTAAATCCCTGGCCCTCAACTTCTACTTCTAAATGTCTGTTTTCACTCCACTCTGACCACTCTTGTCCTTGACACCATCAGATCTGACCGTCTGGGGTAGTCTCCTAAGTGGCCCTTTGGATCTCAGGTTAAATATTATTTCTTTAAAGAGGATCTCGAGTCAGAAATCTAGAGAGACTCTGGTGCTTTCACATTTGATATTTTATGGAATCTTCACAATGACCCTGGGTGTAGAACGCACCACAGTTGTATCTGTTTCCAGTTTTCCGAAGGGAAACAGAGTTGAGTGGTTAAACTGTGCAAAATCATATCGTGAGTAACAAAAGTTAAAATTTGCTCTTGTTTTTTTAACTTTTATCTTCAGTTCCTTTAAAAATTTTTATCCAAATAGGCACATACTATTTTGTATGATAGTATTCTTTAATTTCCTACTGATACCTATTAATGACTTCCTTGTTTTTTGTTTTGGTTTTTTGCTGTGATGAACAACAGTAGCACAAATGGACAACATGAATATGTTCTGAACTTTCTCACTTTTTTCCTTAGAATAAATTCCCAGAAGTAGAATTGGTATCCAGGGTATGACCTTTCAACAGGTTACAAGTTGTAGAATAAATAAAAGAAATGTGAGAAGTCATTTGTAAAATGAGAAAATTTGTAATGATAACTACTTCATAGTGTTCTGAAGATCAAAGTTAATATATGTCCAGTTATTTATCACAGTAGTTATTAATACTTATTTTGAAATGGGTTTTTACTGTGTACTGTGATTTTTCAGACTGTTTGGGACTTTATTTTGAGAACCTGATCAAATCTTTGAAACCTTTCCTTGAAAGAAATCTCCCCAACATGTACACACACTGATACAAGTCATTTGTCAATATATCCTTGACTACTGAAACTCAGCATATGGACCAAGTTAAGAACTGCTGATCAATTCCATTTTGCAAGTGCTTTTATTCCTCTATAGGCCGTAAGTATTGTCCAGTGCCATTTAATTTTTGTCTAAAATTATTTTATAGCTATATGATTTTTATAATGATTAAGCTAATCTATTGTTGACAGGTTATGATCCTTTATATCCTAAACAGTTTTCTGATTTTCTGTGACTAAACTTCTAAATGCAGAATTACTAGGCCAAAGATATAACTATAAGGCTTTCTCATTGTCACCTTCTAAGATGAGTTCTACCAGTTATATTGCCACCATTAGTGATACATTAGATAATTCTCATTGCCTTGCCTGCAAGGTATCATCATATTAGGTTCAGGGCTTTTGTCAAGTTCTTAAACTGGTTCTTTACCATTGATATTTTCATGTCATTGTTAAACCCATCCAGACTATACTTTAGAAATATTATTTTATAGCAGTGGTTCTCCACCTTTTTTCTCACATTAGAATTGCTGACTGGGATCAGAGGAAGCTTTTAAATATCCCTGTGGCTAGGCCTACCTTCAACCAATTAATCAGAGTCTCTTGGGGTGCAGTCCAGCTAGCAGAATTTTAAGCTTCCCAGGTGATTTCCATATGGAACAAAAGTTGAAAAACACTAATTCAGAATTTAGTTTCTTTTTTTTCCCATAAAACAAGCCATTAACTCACGAAATAACTTAAAGAGTAAAGCCTAATTTTTGCCTTACCCTAAACTCAAGAAGCTTCTAATTTACAAGAGAATGAGGTTTTTTTGGTTTACAAAGGAATTTTTGTTTTATTTGTTCTGTGTGATTTCAGAAACTATGGATATACTTTTCAGAATAAGAGGAGGCCTTGATCTGGCTTTTCAGCTAGCAACTGCTAATGGTAGGTCTTTCAAAAAAGTTTCCCTTTTTATTGTAAAATTAATGATAAAATATACTGACATTCATTTTCATGAGTTACAGATAGGTTAAACTAAAATTATGTATTTAGTAAGATCAGCCCATGGGCACCTATGTGCAAATTAGAAAAAGATGTCCCCTTCTTTAGGAAGCTTTATAGCCCTCCTACAGAAAATTGTCACAGTAATATAAACATCCCCATGAGCACAAAGTAAATTATGAATCAAAATTGCAGATTACAGACTAACAATGTGCATTTCCAGACTGCGCCATTTTAAATACTGTGTGATATAGGAATGGTACAAGAAGTCTGGAAAAAAAATTAGCAGCATTAGTGGGCTCCTGCCACAAACTGAGATGAAGACTATCAAAAGAGGAATGTGATGAGTTGCATTTGAGATTTGTTTCATTTGAGATGCCAGTGGGGCATCAAATATAAATTTCCAACAAGCATTTGGTTGAGTCTGCATCTTTGAGGAATGTGGTCAGACTTGGAACTAGAGAATGCACTGTCACTGGAGGGTGATAGCTAAATACCTTCATAATAAATGAAACCACCCATGAATTGTACAATGGGTGATGTGTTAGAGCCACCGAGAAGGTCAGAAAAATAAGAAATGAAAAGTGTAGGGGCAATGAAAAGTGACTCCTAGTGGGGACATGGTTTGTTTTTGGGGTGAAGAGAATGTTCTGGAATTAGATAGTGATGATTATAAAACCTTGTGAATGTGTTAAAAGTTAATGAATTGCATACTTTAAAAGAATGAATTTTATCTCACTTTTTTGAAAAGATAGGCAGTTTTTGTTACAATTATTGAAAATAAAAAACAGTTTTACTATGCCATACTTTTATGTATGTTTGAAAGTATTTATGTTGAAAAGTTTAAATTTTTTCTTAACTTGTATTTATATTCTTTTAGAAATTTTTATCAAGAAGGTACTAAAACATGTACTGAGTGATCTGACAACCAAACTTTCTTCAAAAGCACTTGTATTCAGAATATGCCGCAGTTCAGTATATATATGGCCTAATAGTGGCATAAACACCATTCCGGGAGAACTGACTGATAGCTCTTCCTGTAAGAACATAATGCACTTTATTCAGTAAGTATGTTTAAAATTCTTTGAAGTGTTTTCAAAACATCATTTCCTATTTATAAGTGTCTCTCTGCATTAAAATTTTAGATTTGAGCAGGAAGACACAAAACGAAAATTCATGAGAAAGAAAGACAAACAGTTACCAGACATGGTAAGCAAGTAAATTGCCTGTCTTTGCTATTGATTTTTTGTTGTGTTGTTGTTCAGTATTGGACTAGGGATTGAACCCAAGACTTTGTGCATGATAGTCAACCACTCTACCACTGAGCTACATCCCCAGCCCTCTATTGATAAAATGTTAAATCCTTCAATTTGGAGCTAAGATCTTAGAGATAACTTCATCTTGCCCTCTTATTTTTATAGATCAGAATATTGAAGTCAAAAAGGTTCTATGACTACTTTACATATCTAAACTTTCATTTCAGCATATTACATAAAATAATACCATTAACCATATTAAGCATGTAAAACTTTACATATCTTGGAACACATTATAATACATGTTTTGGAAGATTTTTAATACTTTCTTTGTGCCCACAAAAATGAAACAGACTCGAGTACATTTATAAATTAGTATTTAAAAGTAAATAGGGGGCCGGGAATTTAGCTCAGTGGTGTTGCCGCCTGCCTCGCAAGCACAAGGACCCAAGTTTGATCCCCGGTACCAAAAAAAAAAAAAAAGTAAATACGGCTGTGGATTTAGCTCAGTGGTTCTGCCACCTGCCTTGCAAGCACAAGGTCCAAAAAAAAATAAAAAATAAAAAAATAAAAGAATCTGGCACACTACACTGCACAAGATAACAAGTGTTAAAGGATTTCTTTTTCTTTACACTGTTTTTGGTTCCACTGATTTTTGAACTAATATTACTGTGTATCTGCCATGCCACAAACTATCAGATGTTGGCTAGAGATGAAAAATGGAGACGCTTCTTTAAAATTATGCTTCAAAATAAGATTTGTGCTTTCTAACAATGTACTATAATATAGCTTTACATATTATCTTATTAAAAAGCTAACATCACCAGTAACAGGAATTGTAGGAAGTTAGTATGATTGTAGAATTTTTCCAGGCTGGTATATAGAGAATGGATGCACAAGAGAGACTAAACACAAGAGCTATTTAGGTGATATAATAGATTGTATTTGGAAACTAGTGGTACAAAGTGTGATTTAAAAAAATACAGTGGATGTTTAAATTTGTAAAACATTTATTACTGTAAGAGACACATTGCCACTTATCCTGCTCAAAATACTC